GGACCTAAACGCTGTTTTGCTGGACCTCGGCTGCGTTTTGTTTCTCGTTTTGGCAAGGAGGTACAGGAAAAAAGCTGGAGGATAACGAAACACATAACGAACACAAAACGAAAAACATCGTGTAGGTCCAGCCCTGCTCCGCTGCTCTCTCGCCTGTCCTGCTGCCGCCCCGCGGTGCCGCTCCCTTGCTTGTGCTGCAGGGTTCGCCTTTCCATCCCTTGTCTCCTCCTCCTCTGGCCTAATCATCTTGCCACGTCCCCTCGCCTGTTTCTCTTGCCTCCTCCTCGTCCTCCTCGTCCTCCTCGCCCCTTCCTCACCCTCCTCGTCGTGTGCTGCCTCCCGTTCGCCTCTCCTGCTCTTTCCCCCGGATGTTGTCCCCTGGCCCCCCTCCCCGCCCTTCCGGCAGCAGCGCCCGCCTCGCCTTTCCCCCCTTGACCCCTGCAGCGGTGGGCTCGCTCCGGCCCGCAGGAGGAGGAGGACGACGAGGCCGGGCGGCCACGGCGCTGCCTCCGATCACAGAGTCTTGGGAGCTCGGGTCGGGCGCCGACAGCGGCCCCCATCCCCCGCTCCTCCTCCTCCTCCTCCTCCTCCTCCTCCTCCTCCTCCTCTCCTCCTCCTCCTCCCTCCTCCTCCTCCTCCCTCCCCTCCTCCTCCTCCTCCTCCTCCTCCTCCTCCTCCTCCTCCTCCTTCTCCTCCTCCTCCTCCTCCTCCTCCTCCTCCTCCTCCTCCTCCTCCTCCTCCTCCTCCCCCTCCTCCCCTCCTCCTCCTCCTCCTCCTCCTCCTCCTCGTCTCCTCCTCCTCCTCCTCCTCCTCCTCTCCCTCCTCCTCCTCCTCATCCTCCTCCTCCTCCTCCTCCTCCTCCTCCTCCTCCTCCTCCTCCTCCTCCTCCTCCTCCTCCAGGACGGGGTGGATGGGAAGGGCGGGGTTGGGAAATCTGCTGCGTGCAGCTGGTTCTGGCCCCGCCGCTGGGCGCTTGCTTGGATGCGTTGGCGCTCTCGGCGCCAGGGGGCGCCAGAAGGACGAGCTGCCAGCGGATTCGCTATGCGAACCTGTGCTGTCGCTTGTTTCGTCCAGCCCGAGAGGTGAGAGGTAAATGCAGCGGATTCGCAACCTCCCCCCAGTGCTGCCCATTCTGTCGCCCGGCCCGAGGGAGGAGAGGGAAAAGTGGCAGGAGGGATGAGGAGGATGATCGGGCGAAGAGGACCACGTGCACGGTTCTCCTCCTCCTCCTCCTCCTCCTCCTCCTTATCCTCCTCCTCCTCCTCCTCCTCCTCCTCCTCCTCCTCCTCCTCCACTGTCTTCATCCTGCCCTCTACGGATATGTTTATGCGGTATAAGACACGAGAGAAGACACATACTAGCAGTGTTTGGGGGGGTTTCTCTGGAATGGTCTTGGGCGTCGTAGGCACTACACTGGGCCTTCGGAGGCTTCTGGGGACCAGCGGAGCCCTCCAGGGTCTCCCAGAGGCCTCCAGGGAGGGGCGGAGGATGGGGGAGGCGGAGGACTTTTCGGGTCTTGGTCCCCTTCTTGGGCCCCTCTTGGGGCCGTTTTGGGGCTCTCTTCGGCCGTCTTGGGCGCCTCTTGGGCTGTCTTGGGGCCGACTTGGGCCGTCTTGGGGCCCTCTTGGAGGCTTCGTGGGCAGTCTTAGGGCGGTCTTGGAAGCCTCTTGGGCCGTCTTGGAGCGCCGGTAAGCCGAAAATCCGAGAACGCCAAAAACCTTCAGAATCTCAAGGAAAATCACCACTTTCTGTCTCTGTGGGCCCTCTTTGGGAGGCCTCTTGGAGGCCTCTTGGGGCGTCTTGAAGGTGCTTTGGGCTGTCTGGAGGCAATCTTTGGCGTCTTGGATCGCTCTTGGACCGTCTCGGACCATGCTGAGCTCTCTTGGAGGCCGCTCGAAGCGTTCCTGGAGCGCTCTTGGGAGCCTGCTGGGACCTGCCTCGGACCTGCACGGGACCCGGCCGGGACCCGGCCGGGACCTGGCCGAGATTTGACCGGGACTTGCGGGGGTATTTTTCGTCCAGGGACCCCCAGGGGCGGCCCCGCGCGCGCGAACTAGAAATATTGTTAACCAGTAGCCAGAGATCTTAGCACGCCCTTGACCCGTTGGGCCGGCGAATTTATAAGGAAGGAATCGAGGAGGAGGTGGAGGAGGAGGAGGATGAGGATGAGGAGGAGGAGCAGGAGCAGGAGCAGGAGGAGGAGCTAGACACCCGACGCTTCTTTCTTCCAATCGGGGGTCCCGTGAAGTCCAGACCCCCTGACCCAGGCCAGCCTTTCATCTCGAATTGCTTTTGACGGCCCCTGGAACCCGAGACGGGCTTTCTGGAGGCCGAAGCTCGAAAAACGCCGTCGGTGGTTCGTGCGAGCGACCCGCGTTTTCACAAGGAAGCGCTGCCGGCATTTTTGGATGAGGCACCGCGCGGGAGGTCTGGAGGTCTGCGTCTGCGTGTCTCGCTGCCGCGCTCTCTTGCAGTGCACCAGTCTGCTGCGCAGCATCGCGGCGACAAAATATACATCCGTATCCGCGGCCCCGCGGGTCAGGCCCCCCGGTCCACGACCCCGCGGGTGCGGGGTGTTTCCGTCGCAGACGCCCCGCGCGGAACGCGAGTTGGCGCGGGGACGGACATGTTCGCCGCTCGTGACCGTGGCCTGTGCCTGCCCGACCCACCTGCGCGAGCGGCAGCTCCGCGACGAACGAGCGTCTCGCGGTCGTGCGCTGCGTGCGCGCCGTGCGACGGGGCGGGGCACCTCGCCGCTGTCCCGAGAGGGGCGGGCGAGAGAGGGAGAGTCGGGCCAGGCGACAGCGTAGGATAGGCAAAGGGGACGGTATGAACTCAGCTGCATGCCGCCGGGTTCCGCTCCGCCGCCAGGCCCATTCCTCCATACGTGGGCGCCTCCCGGCGCCAGGAGGTGCGCGACAGCTGGCTCCGTGAGCCCATTCTTTACCCTGCTCCTGGCCATCCTGCTCTTCCGACCCCCCGAGAGAGGCGAGGGACACAGCACAGTGCCGTTTTTAATACATAATACATGCTCCGCATGTGTAAAGCATGCAGGGATTTTGTATTAAAAACAACGATGAGTTCATGCATCAATGTATTCATACATTAGTCATGTATTAAATCCTATATGTTTGAACATCCTGTGTATCAAAAACTGCCCTGCAGGGCCGAGGAGGGGGGATGGTAGCCAGGAGGGGCCCGCGCGTGAACTCCCTCCTCCTGCCCTCTGCCGCCCGCCCGAGCGCCGGCTCAGGCCCAAGCCTCGCCCCAACCTTTCAGAGACCCGAATCATCAGGGGTAACTCGGGTCAGGGCTAACTCGGGTTCGTTTTTCGGGAATCCGAACCCGAGTTGCCCCAGGCCCGAGTTACCCCGGATAACTCGGGCGTCCAGAGTCCCAAATCATCAGGGATAATTCGGGTCAGGGCTAACTCGGGTTCGGTTTTCGGGAATCCAAGCCCGAGTTACCCCGGGCCCGAGTTACCCCGGATAACTCGGGCGCCCAAACCTTAGGTCGGGCGTGTCTTCCTACAGGGGGATTTTGGACGGACAGCATCTGAAGAAGTCAGACCTACCCCAAAATGGTCAAAGATAACCACAAGGTCGTCCCCGGCTTATGTCTGGACTGCTTTTGCATCTCCCTCCCGCAATTCGAGGGATCCGAGCCTCCCCCGCCCCACCAGCGACCGCGCCCCTCCAGGCTCGGGCTGGACGAAGGGGGGGGGGGATAGAGAAAGGGGGGGGAGTTTACGACATCTGCTGCATGCAGCTGGCTCTGGCCCCACCGAGGGGCCCATTCCTCGATGCATGGCCGCCTCCGGCGCCGGGAGGCGCCGGGAAAATCAGCTACGTGAGCTGATTCTCAAGCCCCCACTTTGCTATCCCCCCCGTTCGACCGCGCCCCTCCAGGCGCACACCAGGTCGTCCGAGGGGGCGCGAGGATCATCGCGCTGCGCTCGTCGCGGGCCGGGCCGGAGCGGCTGAGCCCCCGTCTCCAGGCGCTTGGCGGGAGCGCGCAACGTCCCAGAGGTCGTGGAGTGTCGCGCACCGCAGGGGTGCGATGCACGAAGTTCGATGACCTACTTCAGGCCGGCCACAACTGGGGGAGCTGTGGTCCTTACCCCCCTGGGGGACCCATCGATTTCGACGCCCCTCGCGAGAGATCGTCGATGCGATGGGTTCCCCCAGGATGGGGTAAGGACCACAGCTCCCCCAGTTCTGGCTGGTCGGTGCTTTCACCATGGTCTGGTTGAGAATTGTAGTTGGCATCTCTAATGCCGTCGGTGTAGCTGGGCATCGGCGCCAGCCTTGCACCTACTGAAGGTTTTGAGCATGGAGGAGATATTAAGACAGCAGAGGCCTGAGGCTTTCGAGTTTTTCTTTGACTTTTCTGGCTTCTGGAGGCCTCCGTCCGTGGTTCTCTGGAGGCCTCTGGGGTTCTCTGCAAGGACCTCTGGACCGACTTGTGGTTGTGTCTCGATGCCGCGCCGGCAGATTTCCGATGGTGCCCCGACGATGTCCTGACGGCTTTCCGACGGTGTCTTGACGATGACTCCTAAAAGCCTTCGCCAGTCCGCCAGATCTTTCAGAGAAGGGGGTTCCATTTGAGTGCCATGGGGTGGGCAGAAGTCTTCAGATGACTCAGAGGTAGGCTTTTCCTCCTCCCCCCTGCTTGCCCTCCTCATTCCCGGTTCTCGCCCTGCCTCCCACTGCGCCTTCTCCCCCTCCTGTTCCTCCGACCTCTCCTTTCCCCGAACTCGCCTGGTGTGCGCTCTGACCAGGGCATGGAGGGGAA